CCCCCCCCCCCCCCCCCCTCTTTTCTTGTTACCATGTTGAGAATTTCTCCTGATGAGTGGACTTCCTAAGGTAACAATTGACTGGAAGCAGGCTTATTTGGACCTATGTTTAATGGAAAATGAAGATAATTTTTGTAACTTCATTCAAATTCATTTTTAGATGATTGAATTTGTTCATAACTATATTAGACATTCATTTCATTGATTCATGTTGCTTCCGGTCAGTATAAAACTCACAAGCACATAATCGTGTAATTTATTCGAAAGAATCTCTGATGTAATACAAGTTTTTGGAAACAAATGCCCACAAGAGGAGAATATGGCGATAAAAAAACACCCTAAACAAAAGGGATGTTTTACATAATGGACACTCCAGGAAAAATATAAATGCAATAAATGAACAATAAACAAGGATTTGTAGAAGATAGGCTACTGATAAGAAGATCAGTACAACTTGAAAGCTGAAGCATATGCAGAAGCCAACAAGATGGAGAATAGTAGAGGTTTTGACAAAGTGTTCGAGGTTCCGTCTGATGAGTCGTTGTCTGTTGATGGAACAGTCTTTGATCCAGGTCCTGCACAAGCAGTAAGGTATTTTAATTGTGTAGTTGCCATATGAACAAACTGATAGAGCATACAGTTAAGCGTTTGTTTTGTTCTTACCTGAAGGAACGTTGTTTGAAGATTCTGGTGCTCCTGCTGGAGAGCCGGTGGGAGTAGCAACTGACAATTTTCAGGTATTACAAGTTAGCGCTTTAGATTGAGATTGATATTAGTCCATAAATAATCCGCCTGCTCATAAATTTTCCACTTGAATTCTTACCATTGCAGCTGCTGATGGAAGGAGTCTGAACATTGCAAACTCGGGGAAGAGCCAGGGCCTGGGTTTGGTTGATATTGATCCCAAGCGACGAGCCACCACCATTCAGGACCTGGCACAAGCATTGTGGTTGTGAACGGACAACACTTGCAAGCTGTGTGCAGCATGCTTGTGATGGGGTAGAGGAGTTCCCTGTAATGTAATTAAAGCATGGCGACAAGCTGATCAGCACATTTGTACAGTCCGACTGTGCGGCTGCTCCTGCCCAGTGCACAGCAACAATAACCGCAACTAGAGTCATCACCATCTTTGTGTGTTCCATTACAACTACTTTTGGGAATGGTAAAGAGAGTTTATTTGATGAGAACTCAGAAGGTTAGAGAGTTTGATTTCTGAAGTTCCGAGCAGAATTGTGTGGTTTTTGTAGGGAATGGAAGGACGAAAGGGACAGATGGAGAGAAGTTTGATTTGGTGAACCACTTTTCCTACTTCCTTAACAGTTTTCTTTGTTGGAGCTATTGGAGCTAAGCTAGCTGGTCAACTTTGGCGCTTTGACACCTAATGCCTGGACTTGGGAAAGTATATGATCGGTTATCACGGCAACCAACTTCTTCATCAGGTAAAAACTCAGAAACTTAGGACTTTTAGGAGTCGTTAAGGCTGTTGATTTGGGTGGCTAAACTTTAATAGCGTGTAGGAAGCGTAATCCTAGTTTGATCCTTCTGTTGCCTTCGACTTTTATATCTTTCTGTGTTTGGTCAATGGTTATCCTAACCCTTCGAGAAATTTTGCTGCGGGTTAGATAAACAAAAGTATGATGGGAAGAAGAAAGTAAGAACAGACGTCCTGCACAAGGCATGTCCTTCCACACTGATCAAAAGAGGAGTACATGTGCAGTGGTTGATATGCAGTAGGCCTGCGGCTCCAGCCCCCTCAATAGGAGTTATAGTCTCTTAAGAAGCACATGCACAGGCGGGATACATTAATACTGCTAAGTTTTGAAGCAAAAATCTGCCAAAATCAAAGGAACCGTGGGCAAGCCAAGCCTCATTTGTTTTGTAGACCAATGAATTTCTGAAGTTGTAGAAAATTGGGCGTAGTCCCGAGATCGGAGCGAAACTAATGTAACCTTTTTATTGAATTTTTATAAAAATATTATCTATATTATTCAAAGAATTGAGGGAGCACAAGAATGTCAGTTTGAACTCTGAAGTATAGCCGTAATGGATTTGAGCTCTGCTGAAGCCTGCAAGTGGTTGCTGAGGTAGTTGAGCTTCAAAACCTATCCCATGGCTTCCCCTCCACTCCCTCTTACTTTGACTAACCCTCTTCTATAAATTCCTTCATCTTTTCCTCTTAACTCCAATAAACTTCCAAATCCAAAGCGTCGGAACATTATCATACACTTGCCCACAAGAGTTATCCCAATGAAGCCATTTGTTCCCCTTGCCCGAACAATCCTGGTGCTCGCTCTAGCGTTTGCTGTAGCAATTCTTCCAGTTTTGGGTCAGATCAATTCACCCTGCAATCCTTCCATGATTGCTCGCTTCACTCCTTGCATGAACTTGCTCACAAACAGCACAGCAAATGGCACTTCACCAACTGCAAGCTGTTGTGATTATCTAAGGTCGCTCACTGGCACAGGAATGGATTGCCTCTGTCTCATTGTCACTGCAAGCGTTCCCTTCCAACTACCCATCAACCGATCGTTGGCGATTTCTCTTCCTCGTGCCTGTAACATGCCTGGCGTCCCAGTCCAATGCAGAGGTACAACTCCTAACTTTCTTTAAAATTGACAACATAGAACAAATAAGTGTCATTAACCATGAGATCAAAGTTCAAATCTCCATCTCCATATCTTCTTCGATTTGATCCATTTCTGAACGAAAAAGTTGATAACTTGGTGTTTGTTTGTGTTCTTTTGCAGCCTCTGCTGCTCCTATTCCAGCTCCAGGTAATATGCTTTTCTTCAAAGAGTGACAAGACTGATGTTTTTATGGGGAGGAGGATGATGACAGTTTTTTGGTATGTTTTGATAGGTCCTATCTCACTTGGTCCAGCCCTGTCTCCTGATGCATCACCAACTCCACTAGGTACATATTTCACACTTAGGCTTTGAGTTTGAAAAACTTGTGTTGATCTCCAAATGCTATGCATTTCTTGATTAGGTTCTGGCATCCCTCAACCTGCCACGCCTGCACAGTCACCGGAAGCAGACACCACAGAGTTTCTAACTCCGCCTGAAACTCCGACCACGACCACTGATGCCGGGACTGGGATTTCACCTGAACTGACTCCGTCATCTGCTACAATACCCACTTACAACTTCTATCTTCTGGGATTGGCATTGAGTTGTATGGTTTCGAGGCTATACTAGATTGCTTATCCAATATTTGTTGATTTATTGATTCCAACAAAAAATAACAAAGATATGTTTATTTATTTGTAATTGTGGGGAGTTAATTCTTTTGAGTTTTGAGTGGAATAGTTGTTTGATTAGGTTTTTGGGCTTTGAGTTGGTTCAGAGGAGTGACTGCTTGTATACCTAAAAAGCAGACATACCGAGAATTGTTTGTTAATTTGTTTATAGTCAATTTAAGTTCCTCATTTTATTGCTTTTCCCACATAAATTAAAATAGTTTGGAGACTATGGAGTCTATTATGATAATAGTTAAACCTCAAGCACTATCCTCGCCCTAAACAAATAGTGCTAGAAATGTGAGTTGCTCGCTTTTCAAGTCATTTCTAGGATGACTTGTAAGATCTCACTTTCGTCAGATGAGGAGTAGAACAAAACATTTTTACAAGGAGTAGAAACTTCTTCCTATCATACGCGTTTTAAAAATCTTGGGAGAAGCCCGAAAGACAAAAACCAAACAGGACAATATCTACTAACAATGGACTTAGGCGGTTATAAATGATATCAGAACCAGACATCGGACGGTGTGTCAAGAAGAACGTTGAGCCCCGAATGGGGAGTGGACACCGAGCGGTGTGCCAACAAGGACGCGAAGTCTCATAAGGGGGATAGATTTGTGAGATTCCACATCGGTTGGAAAATATAACAAAACACTCTTTATAAAAGTGTGAAAAACCTTTTACTAGCACACGTGTTTTAAAAACTTTGAAGGGAAGCTTAGAAGAGAAAGTTCTTCCAAATAGAACAATGTCTACCAGTGCTTATCAAAGAAAAAACTACCAACAATTCATTGTGAGGCAACTTCAATATGAATGTATTCATAAATAGCACCTTTGAACTTCAGCACAGCAGATGATAAATCAATCTATAGTTCAGATTGTGTTCACGTTAACCACAGCATTACTCTATCAGACTGTCTGAAACAAGAGCAGAAGAGGGTGTATTTTACCCATACAAAGTAAAAAAGACAGAAAGAAAAGCAAACCTCTGCTGATATAACATTTAAATCTTAAGCTGAAGGAACGCTAGCTCCATCCTTGATGGATTGACGCCAAGCAACCTCCCTAGCTCCATTCTTGTCTACAATTTTGATAACGAAGTTCGGTGGGGCCACAACAAGCCTGGACCTGATCTCAAGTATACATTTATCAACCAAATCAATAGCTTCTTCTTCTGTCATACCACTATGGTAGTGTCTATCCATCATGGAGAGTGAAAAGTAAGATCCATAACCAAAAGCTCCCTTGTCAACCTTGTGAAGGGTGGCAATATAGTCAATGTAAAACAGGGATGGGCCTGTCTCCTTGTCATATCCCGCCAAAAGAATGTTCACAGAATATGGATTCTGAAAATCAAAAACTCACAATTGAAATCAGGAGACAGTTACGGCTCATTCAAAGATACAGCTAAATGCAGGATTATAAGAAGAATAGTGGATCACTTATTATTATGCTCTAAGCACAAAAACAAAATTACACAGTAAAACTCCTCTTTTATGTGCTCGTTGTTTACACGAGTTCTACATCGAGCCTAGCTTATCCTTGATGAATAAAGACTTGTGCCCCAGTGGCTAAAAACTTAGTTGTAGTGGTGAAACATGATAATTGGTACTTTGACAAGCAGACAACTCAGTAAGAGACACAAAGACACTAGAAAAAGAGGTCACCCTTGTGCACGCTAGGGGAGCAAGATCAAGGAAGATTTCATAGAACTAGACATAAAGAGTGTACATGTAAACACGAACCAGCTTTCCTGAAAGTCATTAGTATTCTATGCAGTCGTCACCGCATCACATGCCATACCATTTTAAAGCCAACCCGATCTCGCCCACCAACACATCAAATTACATTTGAACACATCTCTAGCAGAATTTAATGAAATTAAATGAGGTTACAAGGACAATATCTGCTAGCAGTGGGCTTGGGCTGTTACAAATGGTATCAAAACCAGACACCGAGCGGAGTGCCAGCGAGGACACTGGCCCCCAAGGGAGTAGATTGTGAGATCCTATATTGGTTGGAGAGGGGATCAAAACATTTCTTATAAAGGTGCGAAACATTTCTTATAAGGGTGTGGAAACCTTTCTCCAACCGACGCATTTTAAAACCTTCCGGAGAAGTCTTTAAAGGAAAAATCCAAAGATGACAATATTTATCAGTGGACTTGGTTCTATTTCTCGTACAAGAAGTAGAGTATAATACATAAGCTCATCATTGTTAACTTTCTGAGTTAAGAAATGCCATCCCTAATAGTAAGGAATGAACCAATAGGATGATAATAGCAAGACAAAACATGATATAAGAGAAATACATGAACTTTGGCCTGCCTACACTCTACACAGCTGGATACAAGAACAAAAACGCAAATCAAAGTGTTTAACATACAACATCCGGAGATGGTTATCGGTCTAGTTTCTTTCCATTGTGAGGCATCCTTAAAGATGACAGAAATCGGGGTTTCGAAAAAACAAACCAAGACAATATTCCCTCGCTCTGTAAACATTTGAACAGTTTTAAGCTCCACAAACTAGTAAAAGTTAGATTGAAGACAAAACTATTCATACTTCTTCATCACGATGAATTATTAGAACCGCTTAAAACAACCCCCATGATCCAACGTTCCCAAAACTAAAAAATTTAGTCAAATGAAAGTTATAGTAAGAAGAAATGATATTACCTTCCGCAAGGCGGTTGCGAGTTCACCACGAGTAAAATTAGCAGCAGCAGCAGAGGTCAAAGGGATACCATTGCGAAACTGATACAAAGCCACATTCTTCTGTATATACTCCGTGAACTGAACCCTATCGAATCACAGTCGAAAGCAACGCATAATTGACAAAAGACAAACGATTAGAGAAGAAACAAGACTTCCATCAATAAAAACCTCAAACCTGTCGCCAGGTTCGCCGCTAGCTGCGACGAGCTTGTGGGAATCGAGAACCATGATCTTGTCCTCGTTGGATTTATGAACCAAAATACTATGCACCGCCGATGTGTCAGCCGCCACTATGACGAATCCGTTGCCAACAAATCCAAATACGCTCTCCATTCTCTTCTTCGTTCTTCTTCTTGTTGAAATCGATCTGGTGTTTACAAGCTTTTGTGAAATTCGGGAGCCCCCTTCCGAAATTATATGCTTTTACAGCAGCGACTTGAAGAACAAGTTCTCTCACTCTCACGGCTTTTTCATTTTACATTTTTATTTTTCAAAATTTGGATTTAAATTATTTTCTTTTTTAAATTTATTTTGTAACCCAAAAATAAAAAATAAATGCATAGAAAAAGGCAAAAACACATTTATTTATTTATTATTATTTATTTATAGATTTTTACACCGGAAGAAAGCAACCGCCTTCTTTAGAGCTAAAACTCGACAGAAAAAAAGAGAGGAAAAAAAAAAAAGATAATATTATATAAAGGTTGAAAAGCCCCTCTTTTCATAGATATTCATTCATAAGCGCGCCCTCCTCCATTTCCTTCCTTCTCTTTCAGAAGTAACCAGCCAGTTTCAGAATCGACAACAACGGGCTTCTCTCCGTCGACCTCCTCCGACCACCTTCCGGCCCTTCTGTGAAGAACGATTCTCTCTGGCTTCTGAATATCTCATCGGCTTGCTTTCCTTCTACGTTGAAGGCAAGTTCCTTTGCTTCTCTGTCTAATTCGTTCATTATGTTCTCTCTCCCTGCGTCAGATTTTCATGATTTAGGGTTTTGTTGGTAGTAAAATTGGGGGAGGGTAATTAACGAGTAATTTGTACAATCTTTTACCAGCGAGGAAGTTTCTGTGGTTGTTTTCGGCATTGATTCCGAACCCGACCAAGCGGAGATTCTCATTAGGGGAAGCCATGATGGCGATTGGATGGCCTGCCGGAATTACGAGTACGCCGCCCTCTGATAGACGACCGGCAACTCTTTCGAATCTACCGCTTCTTTCTTCGCGTTCCTCTTCTTCCTCCCTTCTCCAATGTCGTTCTTCCTCTCTCCTTCCTCGCTGCCACTGGCTGCTCTGTATGTGAGGGCAGGCCATCTCGAAGGATCCAGCTCCTTCTGAAACGAACACCACCCATGTCGCTCTTGAGTTGAAGTGGGGCACCATCATTCCACCCTGAAAATGACAACAACAACGGTTATAGAACTATATTCGAGAATTCTATGAATTAGGTATTGGACAATTGTGGATTTCAGAGCTTGCTTCAATACTTGTTTGATATCGACGACGGAAGTGGCCACATCGGTTCTCCGAAGTTGGGGGAACTCATCAGGGCAAGCCTCAAACATTTGACCGTATTGGTTGTTGTAAACAGGGGTCTGGCTTTCGAGCTTGATCGGAGCTCTGACTCCCCGACTACCTTTTCTTACGGAGGTGGCTCGTTGGCTCAACGCTCTTAGTTGCTCTTGTGATGCCCTTACGATTTTTCCTCCTCTCTCCCTTCTCTGCTTGAATATCCTCTCTAGTTTATCCCGTGGAATCTGCAATTTCATTCCAATAATTATATCATTCTGGGAAGTTAAAAGAGTATCCATTTAGAGAAGAGAAAGAAACTGACGTTTAGAGCAGCTTCGAGAACATCATTGCTGAAAACGCTGTAATATGCTTGAGATTCACCTCCGGCGGATAGATAATCCTGCAACAAAACCAGGAAGCTCGAGTAAACAGCCACTGGAACATCATTCAATTCTCTGAAGAAAAGTCCTCAAAACCTTGAATTCGCCCGGATTGTTGACGGGTTGAACCAATTTCACGATCTGGAGATCTTCATTTTCTTGGTTTGCCAAGTATAAAGTTGTTCCGGCCGGGATCGTCATAACATCCCCTGATTCAACGTTGTAACTCTCTTTCCTAGTTTCCCTCTTCTCCTGCACTACTGTAGTGATCGTCGCTCTTCCTAGAAAAGATAATGTCGAGATTAAAACAAGCTCCATTTCCATAAAGCCAAAAACAGAGGAAAAAACTTGCCTCTTACGACCAAGAGAACACATTCCGCATCCAAGTGATGGGGGACGATGAAGGTGTGAGGGCGGGCCTCAAGAAGTGCCAATCGCTGGTTTTTAATTCCTTTCAAAAGCTCCGACCTCTCGGAGAATCTCTCCAGCACCCTCCAATGGCCCTCGTCAGACCTGTACCTTGATTGAAAACGCTGTTCCTGAAAGTAGTAGGGGTTGTTGCTCTGTTCTTGCTCTGTTCGTCGAATGGCTACTT